ATAAAAGAAATTTAAATAAATGAAATGGTAGTGAGCATGAATTGCATAAATCCAAAACAAAACGAAGATGTGGATAATGGTGAAAGAATGAGATGTAGAAATGATACAATTTACAAACATGGGAGGAAAAGGGGCGTAAGAAGAAAGGAGGGCCAGCCAGTGGCTCACTTGGGAGAGTGTGGTGCTGATAACACCAAGGCCACGGGTTCAGATCCCTACATAAGGATGGCCGGTTAGCTCACTCGGGAGAGCGTGGTGCTGACAACACCAAGTCAAGGGTTAAGATCCCCCTACCGGTCATCGTTTTTTTTTTTAAAAAAAAAAAAAGAAGAAGAAAGGAAAATAAGCTCTTAGCCTTATCTGTCATAGCTGGGGGGTCAATGATGACAAATCGAGTACTAGAAGTTTAAGCATACTTAAGATAAACTAAATCCAAAGAAAGCAGGGACTAAAGTTATTCTATAAAGGAATAAGTATAACTATCAGAACAAAAATATAAACCTTTCTAAGTATCAGACCAACTTAAAAAAAAAGGCAAAGACAAATAGAAATGAATGTAGGCTATGCAGATTTCCTTTATTACAATAGATTCACCCAACAGCCTTTGTCTCCCTGTCTACCTTGTTTGTTTTCCCAACAGCCTTGGCCTTTAACAGAGCCAGCTCCCCAAAAGTGGCTGTACATATAACTGGTCCGACAGAAGAAAACACAGACTTTCTAGATATTTAAATGATTTCTAACATGTAGAACTCTCAAATCCAGGGTACAAAAATATTTCTAAATGATTAGAAATAAATCAGATAGTCACTGATACAAACTGTCATTGACAAATTTTATTAAATCTGCTTTAAGGGTCCAATTACTATTTTGTTATAAGCAAGGTTGAATATTTTGCATTTACAAATGAATGGACCTGCCATTAAAGTCCAGCAGTCAGGTTCCTGAACAATAAATTTAATGCAAACCACTGATGTTTCAGAAGTATAAGACATAAACATTTTACCTCTTCATGCTCTCTTCCTTTTTTTTTTTTTTCCTTTTTGTCTTTTTTCATGACCGGCAACGGATCGCAACCCTCAGTGTCGCGCCTGTACCGGACCGGGACCGGCAACGGGATCGCAACCCTCGGCGCCGCGCCCGTACCTCGCTCAGCCAGTGAGCGGCCGGTCTGTATGTGGGATCTGAACCCTCGGCGGGAGCCCATGCAGAGAATTCACTGCTAAAAGCAGATTGTCAGCCTATATGTGAGTATTTGGTTAACACGTATACTGACTATCTTACATATTTCTGACACCAACCAAAGAATGTCAATATTCCCTAACAAGATGTGAACTTCAGACAGAAGCTTTGAAATGTCTGGCACACAGATGCTAAACAATTATTTGTTGAATAAATAAATTTCAGTTAAAATTTCATTTTAATTGTTTTAAAAACATTATAATCCTAGAATTTTTAAAAAAGACATTAAATAAGTTTTGGTTTTTCATTCCACACAGATTGAGTTTCCCACCAAATTCCCAAGGGTCTCCAGAGTTAAAGGTGACAACTGAATAGACCTGCAAGAGCCAGGGCTCACTCTATAGCTACCATTTGCCAACATGTGAGTTTTGACTCATCATTAAATGGAACATTCTCTTGTTGGACACAAGGTACACTGTTGTCTCAACAGCAAGCTGGAGACTCAGATTTCTTACCTATTCTTGTTAAATTGGATTGCAAAGTCTGTCATATGCTGTAGAGCTTTATTGGTAAAGTTCATTTCCATATAGATGTGCCCCTGGCGGTGAGTAAATGTTCCTGAAATCTCCAAGCCTTTAGCCTTTACTGCAGGTAGCCAGACCTGAAACACAGTATAAAGCCTAATGTAACCAGACAGGATATGGCTATTTATTTATTTTTAAATGAGGAAGAAATTAAATTTCACTTCCTTCAGCAATCATGGTGATTTTTATACTATAAGTATCAAGTCAATACAAAAGGCTCTGGATAAAGTCATATTTTATGAAGGAAAAAATAAATAAACCAATCTTTGGGCAACCCTGGTTCTTTTCCGACTTCTGTTCAACTTGGTCATTTTACTACTTTTGAGTGTTACTTCCAAATATATACAAGGAAAAGAGAAATTCCAATGAGTATGTGTTTTTTTGTTACTTTTGGTAAAAGGTTTAAAGGGAAGAAACTGAATCTGCTAATGAAAATAGCATGTCTGTAATCTTTGAAGACTTTTTCATTACCAAAGTCCATTATTAGTAATCTCCTTAAGGGCAAGGTATATTTTTAACTCTTGCTTAAGTTTTAACTCTGTCTTAAATACTCAGATGTTGCTTAAATAATATCTATTCTCTCTATCTAATTCATTTGTTACCCCCCCCCCCCCCCCCCCCCCCCCCCCCCC